TTTTTGACCAAATTGCGGTAGTAGTTGGTCATCCCTAAGAAGGACCTCATCTCATTCACAGACTGAGGACGCCGCCAATCACGAATGTCGGCCACCTTCCCGTGATCGGGCTCCAATCCCTCTGCGGAAATTTCATGACCCAGGTACAAGATCCAAATGCTACCAAACTCGCATCTCTCCCGGTTGATCTTGAACTTGTGTTGCCGAAGGAGACTAAGGACTTTATGTAAATGACCAACGTACTCCTCGACAGTCCTACTGAAGATAAGTAGGTCATCAAGGTACACGATGACGAACTTGTTTAAGTAGTCATAAAAGATCCGGTTCATGGCGTGTGGGAAGGTGCCAAGAGCATTGCAAAGGCCGAAAGGCATTACCACAAACTCGTACAAACCTGGTCTGAACAGCGGTTTTGTGGGGCAATCTGATGGTAGATCTATCTTACTGAAGTACCGGCACCCTTGCACTCAGTCCAATAAGTCAGAGATGTGCGGTAGGGGCTCTGTGTTCTTTACAATGGTGGCATTGAGGCCCCTATAGTCAATGCACATCCTCAACATCCCCCCCTTCTTTGGCACGAATAGTACAGGAGATCCATAAGGGGAAACACTTGGTATTCAACCCTTCTCTATGAGATCCTTGAGTTTTCAAAGCTCATCAAGTTGCGTTGGAGACATCCGATAGATCCTACCCTTTGACACTAAACCCTAGGATAATCTATATCGCGTGGACGACCTCCCTCTTAACAACCCCTTTCGGCTCTTCTAATAGATCTGGGTACTTAGCAACACTCCCTCTATCTCTAAAGGCATTTTCACCGGCTCACCCTCTGCAGAGACATAAACTAAGTACATACCCTATTCCAGATTTTGCTTGTAATAATTATAGAGCGCAATCGCACACATGCATACCCTCTTCCAAATGTTGCTTGTAATAGTTATAAAGTGCGGTCGCACACATGCATCCGTAGTCAGACTAATAGCCTTAAGCTTACGTAATCTGGTGGTCTCCCCTCCGGCCAAAGTTAACCACGTTTGGAAGGGAGAGACTACAAACTCATTAGATGGTGGGCAACCATTCGTCCTTCCACTAGCCCGTAAACCGTAGGCAGCGAGGGAGAAGAGGAGAACAAACGAGGGGCTGTGACAAACTGTTTTGTCAGAGTTTCACCGACTCATCAGGAGACTGAACCTACATATATATATGTAAAATATTATATATGTAAAATATTATATATGTATACATTTTGTTGTGTATGTATACATGTCGACCCGGACTGGTTGTATGGTTGTACGGTTGTACGGTTGTATGTACGATTGTATGGTTGTAGGTGGCCGTAGGCAGTGCATAGTATTGTGTCTAGCGTGTATGGAGGCAGTGGCATGCATGGTATGTGTGTGAGATGACAGGCCAAGATGGACAAGACCCCCCCCAAGTCCCAAGCCAGACTCGAACCCCGTGATCTCGCTAACGGTACCTGGCAGACTGGGGACATCAGCAGAAGAACCAAGACCGACAGGGCAAGCAACCCACGCAGTATCAAGACCCGGCATACAACACCATGGGCATCCCTTGGGTGGTGCAGAGGCAGTGTCTGTAATAACTTACCTGCGTCAGCCCAAGGGGGTATGCAAGTGACCGTGTATTATGTAAACGCTCTCCGGTGTCTCTGCACAAAGGTGTGGAGTTTTGACAACACACATTGGCAACCGGAGCTCTAACCACTGAGCAACAGCCTATCCGCTGACACAAGTCTTTTGCTGACGTCTCACTGCAATTCTATGACAGATGCTAGTGTCATAACCCAAGTGCTTCTGCACTATTGTCCCATTTTCTTCCTTCTATTAGCCTCAGACTACAGTCCCTCAAACCATGGCCCCTCCTTTTACTCTTCCTTTGTCCTGCTGGTCAGGCACACAGGGACCACACTACGTGTTCCGGCGTGAACATAGTGGACTGCAATTACGTTCCACACACACACGGATGCACCTGACCGCAATCGCATCCAGAGCTGAGTCAAAAAGTGATGCCCCCAGAGGCGATGACATTTTCGTATGTGGATCAAACCACCAGCATTTGCGGGCCAATTTCGCCCAGTTTTCCAAACGCCCTTTTTTTTTTTTTTTTGAAAAGCCTTGGCTGTCTACTACATGGGGTGATACGAGCATTTTCCGCTAGTAGTAGCCTCCAGCTGCTCCATCTATTGGTGGGGAGCTGCACCTGCTGGAAACCGGGTCCAGCGTCCCAAACGCCCTGCGCTGTGCGCGGCAAAATGTACGGATCAAACAACCAGTACTTCCGCGCCAATTTCGCCCAGTTTTCCAAACGCCCTGCGCAGTGCGTGCCAAAAACAGAAAACAAACCAGCGCAGGTATTGTTTTGGCTGATGCTGCCAGCCATTTGGCTCCTGCTGCCGACCCTGAAAGTTATAGCCCCGTGCAAGAGGCATCTAAGAAACATGGCTGGGCAACAAACTGGTGGTTTTTTTTTTCTTCCTTTTCTTTTTCTTTTGGCAAAACTCCTTGGCTAACATACTGGTGGTTTATTAAGGCCTTTGTAACTTTCATTACACAAAAAAATATAGAAAGTCCTACAAACTCCATACCAAAATCTTCCGTCCTTTTTTTTGGGGGGGGGAGGGGGGGGGGGCACCTGGAGGAAGAGGATGAGAAAAGGAAGAACAAGAAAAGAGCAAAACGCGTTTTCACCCTAATTAGGTAGGCTGTCATGTCGGGGAAAAAGAAGAACACACAAAAAAAAGAAGACATTTTTGGGCCAATCTGGCTCCCCCCCACATCATCGCATGCATACTTCAGCAGTTGGGACTGTCCCACCCATAAGTATGCTTCATGGAAAAGGTCATCCTCGATCTTTTTCCTTTCTCAAAAGTTCCTCCTCATCTCAAACCACCCGTACCTCCGCGAATCTTTTTGGCGAGGCGAAGCGGCACTGTGCATCAAGCTTTCTCGAAGCCCTAGCGCAAACTTTTTTCTTTTCCGTTTCGGCTGGTGCTGCCAGCCATTTTGGTCTGAAGGCGCCTGTGGCCTCCAAACCCTGCAGTATATACGTTAAATCTCGGTTTAGCCTTCGCCTCTTCGAGGGGTGGTTTAAAAGTCATCCTCATCTTTTGTTTCTTCTTTTTTTTTTGTCAGGCTAGCTTCTTCACGTTTTGTCCTTTTCTTCTCCTCGTGCAATCGATACTGATTTCGCATCTGGCGTCAGATTGGTATGCATGTGTGCAACCAACACGAATTGTTAACAAAGGGCCTTTCTGCACTGTCTAACAGTCTACACGTATATGTACCATTGTTCAGACCAGATACATTCGGACTGATCGATGTTTTGAATGTTCCCAGATACATTTAGGTCGTGCAGTGAAGCAAGGGCCAAATTGCAAACGAGTAGGAACACTTGCTGTGAGCCTCACAAATGTCCCAAACCCTACCCCTCTTATATCTAATATTTCAGCTGACAACTTTTTTTTATATCTCAATCCTCTAGACATGCATGTGTTACACACATTCGCCATGCCCTTTGGACTCTGACAACTCCACCATTTTGAATGTATTGGGTCCAGAAAGCGTCCAAATGCATGGAGTGTTGTGAAATGGAGCGAGGCCCATGGGCCAGAAGCAACCAACCACCAATACGGCCTCTGGCTGCAAGTCTCGCGACATGCATCTCCAGGAACAAATACGTATTTCGTATTTATTAAATTTTATTTATATCTCCTGCATTGGAGATGACTAAAGACCAAAGTCACTAACCTACTTAATAGAATCCAGAGACTACCTGTCCACATGACTCTATAATAATGACGAGTCTATATACCATGCTGAGCGACCGTGAGTCTATATACCCAGTGTCATTTAGAGTCAAAATCACTAAACTGTCTATGGGCTGTATAGAGTCTATATACCCAGTGTTATTTAGAGTTGAAACTGCCAGCGAGGCAGGGCATATCCCATGATCTACTGAACAGCCCTCGTTGACGGCATACTCACACTTGCACACAGACAAATGTATCTAACTAATTTCAGGTCCAAATTCATGTTTCAGTTCTTCTTTCTTCTTTGAGATTCATTTCTTTGTTTTTTGTTTCCTTATTTTACTTTTGGATTCTGACAGAAACGCCACAGGGCTGATACACCCAAACTGCACATTAGCACTCTGGAGAATGCATCCAACTGCATTCACATCCACAGCGTTGTTGCTGTTTTTTTTTGTTTTTTGCTGTTTTGGTTTTCCAACTGGTCCCCCCAGCCTCCGCCCATCCAGCTACTGGTACTACCAGGCTTGGCAGGCTCGACATACCGGTCACCGGAGGCTTGGATTTGATAGCTGGGCCAAGTACCGGTGGTTTAAAGGGCATAATAAAGTGCAATTTCAAAACCACAGCGACAGTGACAGGATTCAAAAGACAGAAAAAGGAGAAGTCAAAAAAAACAAACCTGAACAGGGACAGGATTCAAAAGATGCAAGAAATCGAGATGTAGAAAAAACAGGCCCATCCAACCAGCTGCCAAAAAATAAAAAAAAGAAGAAGAAGAAGAAGAAGAAGAAGAAGAAGAAGAAGATGAGGAAGAAGAAACAGGAATACAAGGAATTATGGTGACAAGGGAGAGGAGATGAAGATAAATCATTAAACAAAATTCGGCACAAAAAAAAAAAAGGCAAAAAAAAAAACACCACATGGTGTTCAGACCGCAACATATTCATGGAAAACGATATTCACGGATAATAAAGTGCAATTTCAAAACCACAGCGAAACCTGAACAGTGACAGGATTCAAAAGATGCAAGAAATCGAGATGTAGAAAAACCAGGCCCAGGCCCATCCAATGTAACTACCAGCTGCCAAAATAAAAATAAAAAGAAGAAAAAGAAGAAACAGGAAGGATAAGGAATTATGGAGGGCGACAAGGGAGAGGAGATGAAGATAAATCATTAAAAAAGTTTCGGCGCGATAAAAAAAGAAAGGCAAAAAAAAAAACACCGCATGGTGTTCAGACCGCAACATATTCATGGAAAACGATATTTCCCTCACATAGACAAAAAAAAATCATGAATCCAGACGTAAGTGTTGGCAACAGGGGGAAATATATCTTTGCAAAGAATGGCTAAACAACCCACCTGTGGACCCCTTTGCTCTCAACAACCAAAAGATATTATCTTTTTCAAATGCCTTCCACATCTGATCGAAGAAAAAAAAATGAAAAAATTCAAAACACGCTGTTCCTAGAATGTGAATCGTCACTCAATTTCGATAAAAGATTCACCCAACACTTAAATCACCCTCTTGTGAAAGGATGAGATTAAAAAAATGAACACATGCAAGAGACAAAATGCACTGAGACAAGAGTAAATGAAATTTCAAAACCCATTGCCCATCTTCCTCACAGATGCAACCATCTGCGGATGCAACCACCACAACACCGTCTCTCTCTCCTCCTCTACTACTACAGCTTCTACTGATCTTCTAGCGTCTCCTCTGTATCAACGTCGTGGTTTGGAGTCTAATTGCCTTTCTTCAGATGTCGGTATAGGTGGGGCTCTCATCCCCTCCCTTCTTCAGATGTCCGCATAGGTGGGACCGGCGGTCACCAGCTGCAAAACACAGAATCAACCAATGAAATAATCAAAAGGATGCATCAAAGGAAGAAAAAGGAGAAAGAAAGAAAAAACAAATGTCCAAGTCCCTGAAGTCAGTTTATAACTTTTAGATTTAATTTATTTTTAATTTATTCCTTCAGTTGCCTCCATGTCCCTCATCTCAGTTGGGAACTCTATCCATTCTCCGGATGGTTCAAAACTGTTCGAGCTGGTTCACAATTATTCCAGCTAACTGCTCCAGCTGGTTCACAAATGCTCCCAGATGCCTTGCCCAAGTTTCCTCCAGCTTGCTGTCTCCAACCACACCCCGGCCCCCGTTCCTCAACCCCTCCATCCTCCCCCCCCCCCCCCTCTCCTTCTCACCTCCATGTGACTCATCTTAGTTGGAAAAGACAAGCCGCATGTTTAGAAGCTCGATCAATTGCTCCAGATGGTTCAAACGGCTCCACAGCTGGTTCACAACTGCTCCCCACCCAACCTGATCCTCCCCG